AAGGAAGGAAGGAAGGAAGGAAGGAAGGAAGGAAGGAAGGAAGGAAGGAAGGAAGGAAGGGGATTCTACTAATCCTGGCTTGGAGGAAACTACTTCTGGTTTTTCCCCCTCCCGCTCCTGCGCAGAGGGCTGCCCTCCAAATAGTTTGGAGTTCTCCTGGCAGACCAGGCAGAGGGAGACTGCACTGGCTGTTGAGGTATCTGTCCCCAGTGCGAGAGACCATGAAAGAGAAGGAATGAATAGAACTCGAGTGCTCTTCCCCAGCATTTTTTGCAGCTGAAATGAACTCAAGATTGGGCGGTACTTACTTATGTCCTCAATGCAAACTGAGGCAGACACCTGTATGTTGAGCCGCCCTGCTTAAGTGAGTCTGAGGAATGGTTTGCCAGCCTTGTCCTCAAGGTATGATATTATCTTTCCTCACACAAGCTCACCTTTTCTCAGGGTGGAAGGTCCCTGAGATGTGAAAATAGATCCTAAGGGCAGTCGCAACTTTTCAGAACTCTTCCTCTACTTGCCCAAGGGACCAACCAAATTCCTCCTCTTGCAGGCTGGATTTTCCCCCCTCCCACAATCGTTTAATTTTTAAAAATCATTACAAGCATATTTTGAGGGCTGTTGTTAAGTATTTATGTAAGACACCCAAAGGGCATTTGTTTTGCATCCTGTTTTCTGTCAATTAAATCAACCGTTCAGGGTATCTTTCTGCTTCAGGCATCCCAGGTGGAGTTTTGAGAGGCCCCTATTGAGAGTTAAGATTCTTTCAGACACAAAAAGGATATTTAGGAGTCTCCTGGGCAAACTGAGGTCAACCATAGAACAAAGCTGCTTTACAGTTAGAAATTGCCAATGTGCTTTTAAAACAGGAGCATTAGGTAACCTGAAGTTCTAGGACCCTGGCAATACCCATCTTCCTCACAAATGTTTTATAGCATCTTAAGCCTCATCCAACTATCTTTGTGGTGATATAAACCCAGTCTTGATTACTAATCCATCAGAACAGGAATTTCTATATTGTACTCAATCCAACAAGGAGAGGGCAAAAAGAGGAGATCATAATTCCCACAATCCCAGTTTTTTCAGTCTGTGATGCCTTCTGCTGTTTAGATTAGAGAGACACATCAAGTCCCTGCCCTTTTTCCTCCTGCATATGCACACACAATCTCATCCATCCACCCAGGCATCTAGCTATGTAACAGTTTGAAACCAGAAGTGGAGAGGCAAGAATCAATATGTCCTATTGAAAGTTGAACTCCTTTGGCTTCACAAATTGCATGGTTTTGTACCTGTGCACCAGATTGTGGATGTATACTGTATATTTGGCAGGTTCTTATAATAATTAAGCAACAGTGAATAAAAGCCCACTCATATACAATTCCTCAAATGTCAATAAAGCATTTATTGATCAAATTAAAAACAAGCCTGGTGAGATATTCAACAAAATCAAAAAGCAGACATGCATTTTGCTCACATGTCTACATGATCATCTCTCATTGTGACCAGGGGATTGGACCAGCTTTCAAACCATGACAGGTTTTGTTTGTTTAGTGTTCTGGATCCAAATCAAGGAGAGAGAATGTTCTCAGAGACATTTTGTTCATTTTTATCTCAGTGGCCTTTTCAAGATTAATTCGGTTTATAAAACTAATGAAAAGCTTAGGGTTTTCAAAGGGATATTTCCTTGGGACGCAGAGAGCAGAATGTTAGGTGAAATTTTAAAATGACACCTGGAAAGTTTTTGAGAGTTTGAATGAAATCATCTTGGAAGGAATTCAGTCAATCGTGCAATCCTTCGCCCTCTTTAAGGCTTATTGATGTAGCAGCAATGGGGAGATCTTTCCAAGCCCAACACAGATTGGGTCAATGAAATGAACCAAATTTGTGGTATACTGTATGTGTGAGATTGATGTCCCAAATTCTCTGCTCATGCAGGTTTTCATGGCACTCCATTTCTAAATTCGGTAACAGCATTCAGCAAGACAGGCTGCGAATATTCCTCTGCAGTTGTTTGTCTGTGAAAAGAATCTATTATTTTGCAAGGCTCAGAAGTCCTGTTCCATTTCACTTATCAATCTTTATCTTGTCTCTGAAATCAAATAGGTAAGGACTGATACAGCTGTTTCCTATGAATGAAAGGCACTTGTCATACATTTTGGGCACACCTGAGTAATTTAGGAATTGGAATTTTGCCAGAAAAGCTGTTTTAATACAATTTATTCTAGGGCCATTCAAGACCAAAAATGTCCACTAAACATAGCAGGTTCTTTTTTTCTCAGTATATTCAGGTTATTGGGTAGTAGTTGTTATAGCAAATATTGAAAGTTACTAATGATTTAAGTAGTACAGATTTCAGAGAAAAAGATCCAGCCAACTTGACCCTATCTCTATGCGTTTGGAGCCAATCTCTCACTGACTTCGATAAGATGCACTTTGGACCTGTTTAGAATAACATTTTTAAAAATCCGAATCCAGATCCGTTTATACAATCACACAACACCGCTGAAAATTCAAAATCGCTTTCTTCCGAGGCGGCGGCTGAGCTGGAATAAAGCAGGCCTTTGGAAGCTCGACTGACTTCATCCACCCGCTGCTCCCAAAACTGCAAGGTAGAGCCGGAAGAGAAACGTGACGGGGCGCGTCCAGCACGAATATACAAGCGCCTGGCCAGGCTGCCTGCAGTCCCCAACTCTTCGTTTCGTTTCCTTTTCTTTTCCGGCCTGCCCTGGTTTGGATTACGTTGCTTTGCAAATTCACAGGTCCACGGAGGTTTACTCCCAAGTAAAGGAAAAACCCACCCCTCTTAAAACTGGTGTATCAAAAAGGAAATCAAGCGACACAAGCCGCCTCTTTGGTTTGAGAAAAAGGCGCCGGCTCGCTTTCTCGCTCGCCTGGCCAACATATTGCAATCCTCGATCCCCGAACCAGGCAAAAACAAACCACTCGGGACTGATCCCTAAACAGACGCTATGCAAGATGGTTTGCTAAACATCCCCCGGATTGCAGCGCGCCAGGCTTTTATATGCATTTATTTGGGAGTAAGGAAACCGATGTTCTTAGCATTCAAAGGTCGAGAGACCTGTGATCCTTTGGGCTGTTGAAAAAGGGAGTCTCTTTTCCAGTCACTAATAGCCACGACCTTGTGGCACTTTTATCCATCCAAGTTTTTCTACAGTACTATAGTGTCATTTCAAATCTCACAAGAGACGGTGTTCGCTGAGTGTGGTCAGAAAAGTCAAGATGGCGGCCGAGACGTTGTCATTGGACCGCTGACGGTTTTTAGGTGCGTCGCGGCTGCCATCTTTAAAATAAAAAAAAACCTCACGCTGCCGTCCGCAAGACATTATTGGCTGAATTGTCTCATTGCTGAGCCGTCAA